TTGTTTACCTATGGTCGTACAAGTATCTCATGGAGATTCCAAAGAAATCACAATAGCAACTGATCATGCACAATGGTCAACAATTCATGAGACTTGTTATGAATTGTTTGGTTAAGATTTGTGATTCAACACGTCTAAATGACTAGTAGTTGTGGATTCTCTTCATAAAAAATGATCTTGAAGATCATGTATGAAGAAAATGGTCATAATGGATCATGCATAAAGTGACAATCTAGAAGATTTGTTCACTAAGAAGCTTACCATGAGAAGATTTGAAAGATTTGTTCACAACACTATACTTTGATGTTGTCATGAGGGGGAGCATATACGCACTGCACTCTTTTTTCCTTAACCATGGTTTTTCCCACTGGGTTTTCCTGGTAAGGTTTTTAACGAGGCAGATTCAGATAGCGTATTATGATGATTATGTACTCTTTTTCCTTCACTAGGATTTTATCCCACAGGGTTTTTCCTAGTAAGGTTTTAACGAGGCATATTCATGTCTAATGGTCATCCAAGGGGGAGTGTTATGAAAATATTATTATTATGGATGACCAACATTAGATGCTCCATGGTATGTTACAAGTTCTATGTAACTCATCTCCTTATATTTATTTCTCCATATGACACATTAGTTGCACAATTGGGTGTTACATGTAACCCCCCACCCCATTTCTATTTCACATTCATGTATATTGATTGTAAGAATGTAGAGGTTATGTGATGTGCCTATAAATAGATGATCTCCTTGTACTAAGGAACACATGAATAAGAAAGCTCTATTCCCCCTCTCTTCATGAGTCTCTACTCTTACTCTTGTGTATGTTCCTCTTCCTTGTTATTTCATAACAGTTGCTTTATTATGAATTTAATTATTTGTTTGGGAAAAAAAAACAAAGAAAAACTTCAGCATATAACTGTCAAGAACCAATTGATCCTAATAACTCGAGTTGTTAGGAGAAATTCAATTGTGGATCTTATACCTATCTCTAACAATAACCATGATCGGGCCGACGGTTTAATTTTCAAGTATATGTTTGAATCCCCTGGCTGCCTGATCAGCAGGGCGCAACGCATCTTGTGTACTCGTCCCACTCACAGCAGCTCAGGATGCCTACATAATACACGTATAATAATTACGACCAGAAAAAGTATGTACACGTTCGAACATTGAGATCAACAACCAACGAAAAAAAAAAGTACGTAGTATTATTATATACGATAATTCAACCAACCACTTACATTGCTGCCCCGATTTGCTACAGTGCCCCAGAACAGTAGTGCCGGCCGGTTTGAAGCCATCATAAGAATGGATCCTTGAAGCAGCTGCAGGCAGAGTAAAAATGGCTGCTGCCATGAAAATCATGCAGACCATCAGAATCATCCCATGGTACTTCTTCATAGCTTAATAATCAAACAATAGAGAGAGAGAAGCTATATTTCAGGCTCGTAACAAGTAGCTTGTAGGTAATTTATAGATTGATATAAGAGTTCCAAGACTTCAGAATTCAACAGCTAGGTTGATAGAGCCTAAGACATTTCATTTTCTCAGGTACACCTCTCTCCATCGTCGTAACTGAAAGAAATAATAATAATATTTATGTACGAGTCTTCTGACGATTTGAGTTATATGAGGACCAACCGATATCTCTCTGACTCGCGGGTTATTAGTATTGGAGATGCATGTTGGATTGAGAGGTTGCGCGCGCATTAGAAATTTTTCATTATATGTTTCAAGACGTACGTATGATGTTGGTGTGTGCAAATTTCAAACCCGTTGCGACGATTGATCGTGCTCGATCTCGTGCCTCATCGCGTATAGTACAATGCAATAGGGGTGGCTATACGGTCCGGTCCGGTTAAATTGGCCCAAATTGATCCGGTCCAGTCCGGTCTTTTTGAAGATATAAGGACCGAAGATTGGATTGGATACAGTCCGGTCTTGATCCGGTCCGGTTTTGATCCGGTCCGGTCCCAATTCGGTCTTGATTTTACATTGAGATTGTGGGATTTGAGTGGCCTAAGGCCTTAAAGGGTGAGGAGTTGGTTAAGTTTTGTACTAAGTGCAAAGGTTTGTGACCATTTATGCAAATTACCCTTAAGTTTTGGGTGTTGAGCTCTCTTATCCGGTTTTTTACCTCAAATCTAAGCCCAAAGATTGGATTGGATTGTTTACTATCCGGTCCCGGTCCGGTCTCGGTCCGGGTTATACGGTCCGGTTTCCGGTTTTTAATCCGGTCCCGGTCCAAATAGCCACCCCTACAATGCAATGCATACCCAAAGGTGGTACGTACAAAGGAGAGACATGGAAATGATTCGATACTGTCCGGCAAGGGCAGAAGATGTTTTGTGATGTCGCGCCGAAATGCCGTATCGCTATTGCCGTGGAAATAGTTTGAGATATGACTTTTGGATCACTATTTATTGCCATTTTTGGCCAAGCTCGGCTATAGCTGGCTGGATAGCGGCACTCTCGAGAAGCAAGAAGGAAGTAATAACTAATAACATCATTTGCAGATATAACAATAGTAGTTATGATTAGGGTCAGGTTGTGGTTGGAAATATGACATGGTAACACTCCATTTGTTAGTATGATATGCTTATACTAGGTACAATCAATATGAATATTTCACTTTGATAGATTTTTCTATTTTTAAGGGGTTGACCATGGTTAATGTTGGTTGTTAAAGGAAGGGGAATGCTTGTCATTTTTTTTTTAATTAGAGGGGAAACATGCGCGATCGAGGGTGTACTGGCGCTGCTCATTTATTTTGTGTCATGTCTTGTCCACAAGTATCATGAAGCGTACCACAAAATTCATACCGGAAACACAACAACCACACCAGGAATAATATAAAGTAGACCATAAAGCTTTATAAGCAGACCATAACCTCACTAGACCACAAAATTCGTAAAACCATATAAGAAAACTCAAAGTTGACCACCAGTTTCTTAAAGCATATCAGAAACCTCATAAAACATACTACAAGTTTCTTGAAGACACTAGAAACCTCATAAACCTGACAACAAGTTTCTTAAAGCAGACCAAAAATCTCATAAAGCGTACCGTAAGTTCTATGAACAAAAATCTCATAAAGTTGACAACAAGTTTTCTGAAACATACAAGAGAAATCACACTGGAAACTTCACGAAGCAAACCCGAAACATTATAAAGGATGATAAATAATAAAAATATATAGTGGTGAAATAATTTTTTGATAATGGTAAAATAATTTTTTCATAAAAAAGCGTGTTATTTTTCTTACAAATGGAGAAGTGGAGTGAGGTGGAGGGCGGGAGGTGGAGGGAGGAAGACATGGATGAAGTAACTACTAGTAGTTAACATAACACCATTTATAATTATGTTAGCACGCTATCTGCTTCATACAAAATATAGATGTACAATTGAAGTTGTTGAATTTTGAAATCGAAGTATTTAAAAGTTTATGTTTTTTTTCTTTTACATAACTATTTTTTCTTTCCTGTTTTCGATTATGCATATTCCACCAAATTCTAGTTTTTGAATTACTTATGGGTACATCAAATTTTACTATGATCTTATCCTTAACCACTTAAGTTTTTCCCAACTCCAAGAACAAAAATAGGTCACTCTCATTATTCCCACTAAATCAAAACATAAATGCAGACCAAAACTCGACCCACCCTCAGGGGTAGTGATTATAGAAACCAAAAAAGTTGTTGATAATTCAAAACTAAAAACTTACAGCTGGCGCGAGGATTCCTGCTTCAAATAAACTTTGGTTTCATGTACTCATGGATCAAACATCAAAAAGAGTATGCCCATAAAAAGAAAAGGAATGAAAATTGCCATAATCGGGGAACTCAATTAGTATGATATTGTCCGTTTTGGGTTAAGCTCGCACGGTTTTATCTTTGGGTATCCTTCCTAAAAGGTCACATACTGATTGGGCTAAGTGGACACTAATATACAAGGGTCCCTTGTATTATCGATGTGTTTAGAAGTGTGTTTTGTAACACCCCAATCCAAATTAACATTGTGTTTCCCTAATTACCCTTCTCCAACCATATAATTAAGGTGATCTAAGTTACATGCACCTGTCAAATCACTCACCCCACCCAATCCTATCTCTCTGCAACCATTATCTCCACCCAACCATTAGTTGTCAACCATGTGATGGCTTTTATTTCTTTTCTCTTACTTTCCAGAACCATTACATAGACAATCATGCATATATATCCCACTATGTCCAAAATATCAAGAGGAAGGAACTCGTACAGAGCAGGGGAGGAACAGAACACTATAGCCACCACCCCGTCCTTTTATCATCATCCTAAACCATGTCTCTCCTTTCCTTCAAGCTTATACTCTCCCGAACTCCTCGTTGCTATATCATCATTGCCATCGCCGGAGAGGGACATAACCACCATCAACTACTTTCATCGTCGCTCACTTTCTCTACTTCCCTTAACGGAAGCTTGGCCGACAAAGGTGCGGAGTGTCCGGACGACGATTAAACCAAGGAACAACGACCCTCGTGACTCAAATCAAGTCTAGGCACGAATAAGAGGTAAGGAGTCCCGATCCCTCGTGTTGGAATTGATACTTACTTGAGTTCCACGAGTTTGTAGAAATCTGGGACTTAGCGACGGAGGTACAGGCTTTTAGTAACGGTTATATCTGTCACTGAAAGTCTGCCCAAATAGAAACAAAGGTAGTCCTTTTGGGATGGCCAGTGTTGACCTTTGGTCACGATTTCCGTGACTGTCACTAATGGAGCTGTAGCTTTTAAGATTTAAGTATCCAGGTTAATGATTGCCAATTATGTATTGTCAAATGAATTAATTTGGAATTTAATTAATAAGTATGTATGGATTAGGAGATTAATAACATAGTAGTTAGTAAAATGATTTAGTAGGAATTAGTGAATTAATTGATCTAGTAATATGATTATTAGTGTTGCCAAGAGGTTCTTCAAGCAACACTACAAAAGAAATCACTTTTCATCACGGGACATTAACCACAGTTCTTTTTCCCGTAATCGTTGGTGATTCGCTTATTACGGGGAACAATTCCCGTGTCCTTTAGGTTAAGAAATCATACTTTGGGAAATTTCCCGTGACTGCTTATGGGCGGGAGAAATGCCGCACTCGAGTACATTTTGGGCCCCCAAAAAATTTTGAGTACCCCGCCCTCCAAAATTCCGCCCATCCTTTTCTTTTATTTCAGAAACACAAAATCTTACTTTACCAAAATAAAATCTAGCTAGTAAAGGGTCGCTGCAAAAAAAACCCTAAACAAAGAAGAATGCTATTTCAATAACCTCTGCCCCAAACAGAAACAACCTCTCCACCGCGTTCGACCATCTCCCACCGCCTCTTCCGACCGATTCCAGTTCCCTCAGTCCTAGCAAATCCTTCCCCTGCGTACTCTTCTGTCTCGCATGTCCCTCTATGGCATCCGCCATCAGCAAAATTGATAGGACATCCCCGACATTGCGCAAGGACTACAACATTCAGATCTCTCTATGACTGCCATCGCATGCCTTTGTCTTCCATCCTCATACATGATATGGTCGAGTTGAACGGGAGTGAATCAGCCTTGGACTCCAGGGGTCCGATTCAACTGTAGATCTGGACCTTTCCCCTGTTTGGCCGGTGACTTCCTTGACTCCAAGCTCCTCCGCACTTTCCTACACCTGGTATTCAGCAAGGGAGAACGATCCATCCAGCCGCCTCTCTCACACATCCCACCATTGAGCAACCGAGGAGATTGGGAGCCCAATTTCGGACATCAAATTCCCCTTCCAAGGCCTCTTCAAATCGCCAAACAATAGGTTAAGTTCTGGTCAGGTTTGTTGTTCACTTATATTCCTCTCTCTACAGATTGGGATGGGGTGAGATCGATTTCCTTCATCAATTTTCCCTTTGGGGTTGAAATTTTGAAGTACTAATGTGCTTCTAGGGTTCTGGCGCAAGTGCAAAACCCTTTAAAGCATCATATTGTTCTGCCTTTTCTTTTAACGGTAAACTCGATCTCGTAATTCATTATTGAACCACTTATCTTATTGATTGTATGACATCGAACAATACATGTAATGCTTCTCTTTAACTCTAGACTCCAAAGTTATCCTATATACTCTGGTTTATTGTTAACTATTGAATGGCATTACTTAATGTCTGTTAGTCTCGGTAGGAGAATAAATAAGGCAGGCAAATGGGGACAAGAGATAAAGCAGCAGCATGTCAAAGGTGAGGTAGCTAACTTCTGCTTAACTCTTTTTCCACCATCTTGGTTAGTCCCATTTCACAATTCTAGTTTTCAGTCCCTTGGAGGGGCTTACCATTGTTTAATTTCCCACAGCTATTTCCAATTCACGGAGCCTGTGTGGATGCTCATCTCCACTACATCCTAAGGTTTGCCTCGCTAGTCTTGAATTTTAGTGCTTATAATTGAATCAATGAAGCTGCTGAGATTGTCTAGTTCGCATTGCAATATTTGGCTTGCGCATTTCTAGAATTTTCTTCTCTTACTTTGTTGCTTATAATCGGTTTTCAATGTATTGTACTTGAAACACTAACAAAGAATGAGAATTCATGCCTTTCAAATTCTCATCTGGTTTGTTAAACTTGTTGCAGCGTGCAAGTAATTTCAGCATGGATGGATGAAAGGAAGATTTGGCTAGTGAAGAAAGTACTTCAATTTATAGTTTATTAGTAGAACTCAAAGTATTGCATCACTTTAAGTCTTATGTTTTAGACTTCGACACTCTGGAGTAGTTTGTAAAAACTCTCATCAGTTTCTTTTGTCCTTAAACCTTAGTTGGTTTTGTGGAGAGAATACCACTACAATGACGTATCTTCCTTGTAATTAATGTATACAATAATTATCGATTAATATAAATTTTAATTGTTTTTTATGTTCAGTATTATTAGGTTACATCAATGCAATGAGAAATGTCGAATTAGATTGTCACAACCACCACCTTAGCGTGACTAATAGCAAAAATACTGTGTTTAATAATACCGCTAATCACGGGAATTCCCGTAGTTATTGCAACTTTTACTTACAGGGAACATCCCGTGATTCTTGCTTCATCACGGGATTTCCCGTTACCAATTGGAATGTTTATCACGGGATTTACCCCGTTGTTAATGTTTTCTGGTCACGGGATATCCCGTAATAACTTACATTTAATTACGGGTACGCTTGTCACGGGGATACACCCGTGACAAAGCACATTCGTCACGGGATTTGAGCATATGGTCACGGGAAAACCCGTGATCAAAAGTCAATTTTCCTGTAGTGCAAGTTAACCGGTTAAGATGATTTAAGTTGTTAACTAGCAAATATTGGCTTTCCTGGGAATAATGCTATGCGTCTATGACAAATTAAACTAGAAGACAATATGATATTTGATATGATTAGTAAGTAAAAGTTATCATTGGCAGTTGATGGGTAAATATACTAGTTTATTTAGTATGGTAATATATGTTATAATATGCTCGGTAAAAGTGATTTTAGCATGATTAGTTCCAAGTATATAAGTTGGCATAGATTTAAGGAGCGGAGGTTTTATATGACAAATTATTTAATACGTCAATTAATCGTACTTTGCAATTATTGCGAAGTAGTTCCAAGTCGAGAGAACCGTAGCTAAGAACCCGAAACCCAATCGATCTAACCTCGACTTTCGTCATAGGTTCGCCAAGGCATTTCACCCATGAAGAGCACTGATTTCTTGAGTTGGTGGCTAAATGACCAGGTCGACCGACTTAAGCTAATAAGGTGCGTGGTTTGAGGGGGCATTAGTTAGTATTCCATTCTGAGTTTTTTTTTTTTTTTTTTTTTTTTCCAAGAGATGTCAAGAAAGAACCTATACAACCTACCCAGGCCCTGCCCAACCCAATACATTAGTGAAGCCATCCAACAAAGTCAAAGGAGCATAACTCTAGAGGGGAGAGTAACAGGGCTTTCTGCGCCACTCTATGGGCAGCCCTGTTAGCAGTCCGAGGAACAGCCCTAAACTCTAAAAAAACAGAGATAGAAGACAGGAGCAGAAAGCAATCTCTAAGCACCGGACCACCAAAGGAGTCTGATAGAACGCCTTGACGAAGCTGACGAATCACCACCTCAGAATCTCCTTCAATGACGACCCGAGGCAATAACTTGGAGACCAAAAGGGAGATGGCGTCTCTAGCTGCAAGGAGCTCTGCTAGATAGGGATCCGAGATACCAGGATGAAGACTCCCTATAGCCAGAGCCACATGCCCATCTGAGCTGCGCAGCACTAGACCAGACGAACACCCAGAAGGACAGACAGCAGCATCAAAGTTGATCTTCACAAAACCATCAGGGGGCGGAGACCAAGACGAGAGACGATCACGGGGAGGCTGGGGCGGAGCAGGGACCAAAGGAAGGGAGGAGGACAGTTCGCGGACTTGGAAAAAACACTGACGAGCGAGAGACTGGGCATGGGTCTGGACATGCTCAAAGACCACCTTATTTCTAGACTTCCAGATCCTCCAAAGTACACAAATCCAATACACTGGGTGTCCTGGAAAAGCTTGGCACATAGCAAATTTTTTGGGGGCCTAGGATTTAGAGACTTTGGGGCTTTTAATCAAGCCTTGTTAGCAAAACAATGTTGGAGAATCTGGCAAAATCCGAACTCCCTTCTGGCTTCAATCTATAGAGGTCGGTACTTTCAGCATGGATCAGTGTTGGATGCTAGTGTAGGGTCGAATCCTTCCTGGGGATGGCGTAGCTTATTGTTTGGAAGAGACCTCCTTCTTCAAGGGTTAAGATGGCAAATTGGAGATGGGCAGGACGTTGTGGCTTTCAACGATAAGTGGGTTAGTGCTGAAAAACCCCTGGTCCCACTAGTTCGCCTCTCGAACATAACTAATTCCCCTAGAGTGTCCTTCTTTATTAGGGAAAGCGGAGGGGCATGGCATGTTCCAAGACTACAGTATTGTTTTGATCCTGCAACAGTAAATCTCATATGCAAAATTCCACTCCCGAGGTGTCAACAAAGAGACACGAGAGTTTGGCATTTTACAAAAAATGGTTCATATACAGTCAAAACGGGGTACCATCTAGCTCTTGAACTATCCCTAGCTTCGAGTCGAAAACCACTAGTCCAAATTATTGATCCTCCTATCTGGAAGAAAACGTGGAACTTGGTCACCCCTCCAAAACTGAAATTCTTTATCTGGCAATGCCATTCTGAGTTATTTACACTGCATGTTGCTTGAATTAATTGATATGTCTTTAAATGCTATTTATGCTTGAGCTATGTGTTCATGAGATCCATTTCCAAGTTTATGAATTATGTTCATTTCTTAAGCATAGCATGGCATGGCATTGCATCGCAAAGTTATGTTTTAAGACAAGATGATACAAGTTATGTTTTAAGTATGCATAGCATGATCATGTTTCATGGATACATATGTTTTAAGCAAGTCAAGTTACTTTTAAAAGAAGTACGATTGTATAAGTTAAGCAAGTCATAAGATTGGATCTCCCATTGAGTGGATGATCATTATGTCAAGCAAGTAGGTTCAGTAAGTAAGCAAGATTTAACCCTCACTTAGCTAGTCGCACGCGGTCACCTCATGTTATGATTAAGGAGGTTACGAACCCCACTCCTGGGTAAAAAGGAGGTTACGAACCCCACTCCTAGGTAATAAGGAGGTTACGAACCCTACTCCTGGGTAATAAGATCATGTTCAAGTATTTCGGTGATCGTGGTGGCGTGCTAGTTAAGTTGAGCTCGGGGCCCCCTTTTCGTAAAAAAATGTCTTTCAAGAAAATCATTTACAAGTCATGTAAGCATTTTCATACACGAGCATAACATGAGCATTTGCACTCATTATGTATGTTGGTTCATTTTATATATGATGTCAAGAATGGAATTAGGATTAAGACTGTCCCCAACGCCCGCATTCAGGAATCATAGAAGCTCATATCACGCATATGGATTCAGCGATTCATCATTGGCTCCAGAGCACTGTAGAAGGAAGAGGTTAACTTCAGTACTTTAGTGGGACGAGAGACTTGATGTGATTTTATGATGAAGATTTATTAAGACAAATATCTCAAGGTTGTTCATGTTTTAAGTATTGTTAAATGTACGAGGTTTCCGCTGTTGTTCAAAGCATTTTAATATTCGTTACTTTTCAAGGGTATTTTGGTAAAAGTAGCACCCTATCGGGTCAGGTGTTACATGTTTCCTTCGCGTGTAGTTATAGTTGCTACCATTTTTGATGTCTCTATATAAAAAACCCTACTGTACCTACCGTTATGACAGGAAATCAATCTTATTTAAGAGCTGTTATGAATACTACTGATTCATGATCCCATGCTTGAAAAAGAAAAGAATCCCATGCTTGAAAAAGAAAAGCAGTCTATATATTGGTTTGTCTTTCTGGTTTACATTATAAAAATGCTCTCCTGCTATAGTTTGGATGGAGATCTGTTTAATTAGGCGGTATTTAACAAGATAAAATAGTTAAATCACAATTAAATCATATTTTCAACATAGAAAATTTTATCAGTGACTTTTAAAGCGGAGTTTTTAACTACGTAAGTTATAAACATAATGAACAGCAAATGAAACAGAAAGACATTTATGTTTTTAGTATTATAAGCGGAATATCATTTGTCCTCCAATACAATATAGTATAGTTTTATAAACTTTTCTTCATTTTGAAGGTGTGCATAACTTACTCATAATTCTTAGATTTAAGGAGATCAAATGGTACAAATTATGGGAAGATATATTTTTTCTTCTTATTTGGGTAGAAGGATGAGAATATCATGATATAACTCAAAAATATGCTTATAGTATGGTCACAATTTAGACAATTTTATGGATAATATATTAAGCTCAAATATTCCGACCAATCGGCCGGGTATATGCTAGTATGAAAGAAGATTCTTTCCCTTTTTCCCTTAGACTAGAATTCTATAGTTTGGCAATTTATATAAACAACGTGATATATTCCTTAATACAATTTTTTTATAACTTATTTATCATACATAATTTGAAGTTTGGACATTATTAGCATCTATTACTGTTTTCCGGCGAGGAAAAATTGGTGTTTGAACACAATGAATACACCTTCGACTTCTTGAATAACGAAACTAACACGGTTCACTCCTCTCCGAACAATGTTCGAACGAGGGTGTTTGAGGTTTTTGATGGTTTTTGGGAACAATCTAAGTTACGTTACTCTACTCCTATGGAGGTTCAGTGAGAGCTCCGAAAAACTAAAAAGCTTATTTGCAGAGAAAAGATAAATTTTGACATTGTGCGTCAAATGTTTGGTTGTGGAACCCTTGCTTTGTTTTCGTTTCTCCTATTTATAGTCATCCCTTGTAACCGTCGTGTAACCGCCTCTTGGTAACCACTGCTCCACTGCTTGTTGCTTGATGTAGCTTGTTTGACGCCTTGACGGTCTTGCGTGCTTGCCACTTGATACCTTGCACCTTGATGACTTCACTTGATAGCTAGCCCCTTGTGCCATAAAGGTGTCTTGCTTGGTGAGTGAAGGCTTCAAGCTTGGTGGTACTCGTGCTAACCACTCTCGACACTAGGGTGTTTGGGGTCTGATGGATGCACACTGACCCCCTTGGGGGTGACATCATACTTGTAGGGTCTTGACAAGGTGGTCTACCATGTGATGATATACATGACTGACCATTTAGAAACTTGAAGACCTTGCACGAGACCTAGCACGCCTGCTCTGTTTGGGTACTTGAGAGGTGAGTGTCAAAGCAATGCCGACACCAACTATCCTTGCACGACATCATGCTTGACACCCTAGTGTTTGGTATTCGGTGCTTGACCCCCTTGGACGGTGTCATGCTTGACCCCCTTTGTGGTTGGATCTCCATACTTAGCCAATTTTCACC